GCACCCCACATCCTCAGCACCTGCCCCTCCCCGTGTCCCGGGGAGGCGTCACACAACATCCTCAGCCCCTCACTGCCCAGGGCTCGTCTCCGCGGCCTCACACGCCCCCAACCCCGCTTACCCCAGCCCCACGCGGCAGATTCCCCGTTCCCCCGCCTCAGTCCGCTCAGCCGCTTCCTCCCTGGCCCCGCCTCTTCCTCCGCACGCTGCCGCCGCGGTCCTTCCCCCCGCCTGGGCTCCGCGCTGCGTCACTAGCCGGGCGCCGGGGACCGGCAAGCGGGACGGAGCCGGGCCAGCCACGAGGGGTAAGGAGCGGGCGGAGTTTCCTGGAAGGAGCCGGGTGAGGTGGCGGCGGGGCCGGGCCGGGCCGGGCCGGGCTACAGGCTGCGCCCCCCATACCGTCCCCGTGAGTCCCGCGGGCTCCCCAGCCTGCCCGGCAGTCGCGCTGGGCCTAACCCGCGAGCGGCCGGGCCGAGCTCGGCGCTGCACAGCCCGGGCAAGGACGGAGCCCGCGGATACACCCCAGATGTGCCGAGAAATCCCTCCGGTGCCGGGGGCTGGGCGAGCTGCCACGGTCCAGAGCCGAGGCTTCCCTCCGGGCCCGGCTGGGAGTCGCGCTCAGGCTGTCTGACCAGGGGGGCAGCGTCATGTTATTGCAGTGCAGGGGGGCCGAGCAATTCCCTCTCCTTTGGCTTGCCGGTTTCCTGACTACGCGATTACGTTTTCAGTCTTTTAGGAAACTTACCACTGTACAAACTAGTGATGAGGCCCTTTCCCTGCCCCTTGTACTGCTGAAGTTCAAAAAAGAATGGCCACTTTATTTTGCTTTAATCTTCAGTGCCGTTTTGTTTTTTGCTGTACACAATGAATAATTTCCCTATCCTGCCACACAGATGCGCATACTTGATTTTTGTAGACAGTGCTGAGTTTAGGTCACTATAGTAACTGATAATGGCAGGTTCTCATTAGCTGTGCTCCTGGGTGCTGCTGTTATAAACAGCTAGCAGGGACTTGTTTCTGTCAGGTCTTTTCCAATTCTGATTGTATGATTTTTGAACTTCACTTGAATACTAAATCTCTTTCAAAATTAAAACACATTTTCCTTTGAAGACACAGCCTGTATGTTCACACCTGAGTTAAATGCAAACTAGTTAAATGGTTAACATTGGAATAAAACTGAAAGATTTAGCGCTGGACAGTTATTCTTTATTTGTGGTAGCACCCCATCATGTGATAAGTGCTTTCCATATAGAGAAGAAGGCATAATCCCTGCCCCCAGGAGCTCACAATCTAAAACCAGACAGACAGCAGGTAGATCAACAAATATTCAGTTAAGAAATGAATACATGTAATTTGGGCATAATTTATCTTCATGTGTGTAGCATAGTCAGCCTGTGGTTTAAAATTTGCAGTGGTGAAAGACTATAATCACTTTTTGATCTTTATATTTTGATTTTGTATATTTAAAAAATTCTCAAGACAAGGAGTTAGTAGACTTGAGATCACTGCTCCCTTCTTAAAGGGAATCTAATATAAAGCTGTACTTGGCACTGGTATGACTGCTGCTGGTATATTCTGTCCAATTCTGGTGTCCACAGTTCAAGAACAATACTGATACATTGGAAAGGGTTCAGAGAAGAACCACAAGAATGAATAAAGAATTAGAAAACATGCTGTATAATGAGAGACTTAAGGAGCTCTCAATCTGTTTATTTTAACAGAGAATTAAGGGGTGATTTGACTGCAACAGTCTGAGTACTTGGTGAACAAATACTTAATAATGGGCTCTTCAGTGTAGCAGAGAAAGGTATGACATGATCCAGTGGCTAGAAATTAAATTTGGAAATAAGGTGTAATTTTTTAGCAATTGGAACAACTTACCAAGGATCATGGTGGAGTCTTCATTGCTAGAAATTTTTAAATCTAGATTGAATGTTTTTCTAAGAGAGATGTTCTAGACATTATGGGGAAGTTCTATGGCCTGTGCTATACAGGAAGTCAGGCTAGATAATCACAATGGTCCCTTCTGGCCTTGGAATCTATGAATATAAATAATCCTTACATCCAAAGTGGTATATTACTGAGGTTAAAATTGTGGCCTTGTGATTGGTCCCAGAGTTCAGTTTTAACCAAAGCTTGATCCTCACCTGAAAATCTCCATGAAGACAATATCTAAGGGCTTTCCAGAACCTCGTGAACTTCAGTAGGCAAATTGTTTATTATACAAGGTGGTGCGTTGATTAGGAATGGGTGGGGAGGATAAACAATTGAGATATAAACCATGAAACAATTAACCAGTGACCTAAATCAACGAACAATAACACGCACTCAGGCAGTATCCAGTATCTTTATGGCCACTTCCCCTAAGTGAGGCAGCTCTTAGGCAGCAATCAGTAAGTCATGGTTATATGAATGCAGAAACAAAGTGTGCCCTCAATCCAGGTTCCCCTTCAGCTGTCTGTCTACATACCCTCCTCTCCAGAAAAATCTCCCCAAGATGGACACTGCGGGATCACCTCAACCCCTTAACCATGCCCCTTCTTTTCCAGGGCCCACTGGGGAAAGAGATGGACCAATACAATGGCATGTGAACTAGAGGCAAGAAAATTAGAAAATAGGAGCTAAAACTGAATCTGAACAGCAATTAGCCTGACCTAATACAAAGATGAAAATATGTAATTGTTAGAACAGTGGTTCCCAAACTGGGGTTCGCAGAACGTTACAGGGGGTTCGCCAGAAAAATTTCACTAATGGCGGACAGAGGACCCCGGGCATTGGAGACAGCAGGTGGGACCCGGTTGCAGGGCAGACACCCCGAGCCCCAGGGAGAGCGGGGCCGGGCAGTTGGGGCTGGCAGCCTGAGCCCTGACCCCGTCAGCGGGGGAGCCGGCAGCCCGAGCCCCAGGAAGACCAGGGCCGGGTAGTTGGGGCATCCATCACACTGAGGAAATTTAAACTTAAATCCCTGAAAATATTCACGAGATTTCACAATTTAGTGAAAGGGGTTCGCGGGCCATTAAAGTTTGGGAACCACTGTGTTAGAAGCAGGTAGCCTCCAAGAGAATTGTTGGGTTTCCTGGGCTATCAGGGGGAGAAGGGAGCAATTTTGGAAAAGCTCAGCTGATTCTTTGCATCTCTCTTAATCACAAAGGAACCTTTGGAGATACATGCTCTAGACCCCTACTTTTCATATAGTAAAGCTGGAGGTATTCTTTGATTTCAGAAGAGGAGGTGCTGGAATAAACGGATAAAGAACAAGAAGTCACTGGACCAAATGGTGAAAATCAGAGTTCCAAAGGAACTTACGTGGCTGAGCTGCTAACAAAAAATTCAGTTTAATTAACATAATTCCCTCTGTGTGAGGACTGGAGAGTAGCAAATTTAACTTTCATATAAAAAGGCACTGGGATGGTCCTGGTAATTACAGACCAATGAACTGCACTGCAGTACAAGGAAAATTGAATCTAAAACACAAACCAGCACTTATTCTGCAAAGGAAAATTATTAGGGCTGTCAAACGATAAAAAAAATTAATTGCGATTAATCGCACTGTTAAACAATAATAGAATGCCATTTATTTAAATATTTTTGGATGTTTTCTACGTTTTCCAATATATTGATTTTAATTACAACACAGAATACCGAGCATACAGTGCTCACTTTGTATTTATTTTTATTACAAATATTTGCACTGTAACAAACAAAATAAATAGTTTATTTCAATTCACCTAATACAAGTACAGTAACTCCTCACTTAACAATGTAGTTATGTTCCTGAAAAATGCGACGTTAAGCGAAACGATGTTAAGCGAATCCAATTTCCCCATAAGAATTAATGTAAATAGGGAGATTTAGGTTCCAGGGAAATGTTTTTCACCAGACAAAAGACTATATATATATACATACACACACACACACATCCAGTATAAGTTTTAAACAAACAATTTAATACTGGTACACAGCAATGATGATTGTGAAGCTTGGTTGAGGTGGTAAAGTCAGAGGGTGGGATATTTCCCAGCGAATGCCTTACTGCTAAATGATGAACTAGCAATTGGCTGAGCCCTCAAGGTTTAACTCGTTAATGTAGCCTCACACTCTATAAGGCAGCACAAATGGAGGGAGGGGAGACAGCATGGCAGACAGAGACACACCCTGTGTGTGAGAGAGAGTTGTGCATTGCTCCTTTAAGTACGCTGACCCCACTGTTAAGTACACTACCTTTTTAAGTTGATCAACAAGCTGAGACGGCAGCTGCTGCCAGGAAGCTCCCTCCATCAAGCCCAGTCGTGTGTCCACCCCGCCTCTATGGAAGATGGTGTAAGTGGGGAGCAGGGGGAGGGGGACACCCTGACATTAGCCCCCCTATTCTCCTCCCTCGTACCTCCTGCACAGCAAGATGGAGGCTCCGGGGAGCAGCTTCAAGGCAGAGGGCAGGAGCAGCACATGGCAGTGAGGGGAGGGACAGCTGAACTGCCGGCAGTTGATAGCCTGCTGAGCGGCTGCCGCACAGGGAACTTAGGGGAACGGGGAGCTGATGGGGGGCTGCCGGTTATAAAGGGAAGGGATCTCAATTTAAACCAGAAATGACTAAAATACATCTTTGACTGGATCTATGAATAAATCTATGACTGGGTTTGGACAGTACTTGCTTTTTAGGCAAAACAATGAATGATGCAATCTGAAGCTGGTATTGCGAAAGCTTACATCACTCTGCTGAACAAATTGCCCTATATCAGCTCTAGAAATCATACAGTGTCGTGCTCTCTTATTTGTCAGTGTTTGATTTTGCAAAGGGACATTAGCCAAAGTGAGCAGAGATGCCTCGTACTTGTGTGAACAGTGCAGATAACTTCTGCTATGTTTGTGGTGAAGTGACTTTTGCATCACAAAAGCGCAGTATAACCACTATGGTTAAGAAAGCCTATCACCTTTATTTTGGCTGCAAAATTGGAGATCGGGACAAGAGGTGGGCCCCACACATACGCTGCAACACTTGTGCAACAAATCTTCGCCAGTGGTTGAACAGGAAAAGGAAATCTATGCCTTTTGCAGTGCCAATGATTTGGAGAGAGCCAACAGATCATACCAGCAATTGTTACTTCTGCATGGTGCCTCCAGTTGGGAAAGGTGTGTCAAAGAAGAAAAAGTGGACTGTGCATTATCCAAACATTCCATCAGCTATACGCCCAGTACCCCACGGAGAAGGACTGCCGGTTCCTGATGCACCAGAATCATTCTCACTTGAGTCAGACGAGGAAGAGGATGAGGATGAAACTTCTGGTCCTGAACCATCAATGTCACA